ACTACGTACTACGTACTACTTACGTACGTACTACTACTACTACTACTACTACTACTACTCTCTCTCTCTCTCTCTCTCTCTCTCTCTCTCTCTCTCTCTCTCTCTCTCTCTCTCTCTCTCTCTCTCTCTCTCTCTCTCTCTCTCTCTCAGCTATGTTTTCTTAATTAAACAAAGAAAAAACTGCATAGGAAATTCCAGTTCACAAAAAAATCTAGTGAAAGGGGAAATCCCCCTGAATCTGATCATGGTGGCAAAAAAAAAGTTAATAAAATAAAAAACTTGGGGGAGAGAGATCGGTTAGGGGGAAAAAAAAACTAGTCGCCATAATCATCATAAATGATATATGATTAATGTAAACAATGAAAAAGAAGGAAAAAAAAAGCCTGATGAGAAAACAGGACGCATAGCTTAAAATCCAGCACCCCTACGATAGTTGGGGAATAATAAACCCAATCAAAATACAAAGTAATAAACCAAGCCAAAAGAAAATCTAGTACTCGTACCATAATCGCAGAGCAATAAACTCAACCAAAAGAGTTGATGGCCAAATTGTGTGGATTAATGAAAACTAGCAAATAAAGAAAAACATAAAACTAGCAAATAAAGAAAAACATAATGTAACAAATCGAAGCCATCATATAAACAGAACCAGGGCGCACGCGAGAGAGAGAGAGCAAATCTGCATTACTCTGTCACTCTCGGATTAATGGAAAAAAAAAAAAGAAGAAGAATCCCACAAGGAAATCTGTACATTTATCAGTAAGGGATGGAACTTGTATAGGAAAAATCCTAAATTAAACTAAAATAAGCACAAAACAAAATAAACACAAATAAATTAAGAAAAACAAAATCTTTCTTTTCAGGAGAATAAACAATCAATGGAAAATGGAAATCAATCCACATATCAATTATAATCCAATTTCTAAAAAGGAAAAAAAATTAAACGTCTGGACCAGGGGCTCATATTATAGAGAAAAACAATCAATCCTACCATGACTGTGAAGAATAAAAAAAAAAACTAATTAAGTAAAACACGACCAAATCAACCTCATCAAACCATACAAGAATCCCATCACCACATAAAAAAAATCTAAATCCAACACAAACCGAAGACATTCGCAATCCACTGGAAAAAAAATAAAAATAAAGAAACCCATTACATATTCATCAATAAGATTGAAAAAGTCAAAAAACCCAATGCTCAGAACGAAAAAAAAAAGCAAAGGATCTCACCCCTGATGCAGTACGATGTGGTCTCCTCAACCAAAAGGGGGAATGACTAAATAAGAGAAAGAGAACTAATACTTATTGCGCAACTTGTGAAAATTCAGTAAGTAATAGTTCAACTAAAGGCTGGCCAAAATGAATCTTTCCCCAATACCGTCTGGAAGGGGGCGTATATTCCAGACTGGAGAATTAGGGTTTCCAATACCAGGACAACCAATTTCCTATTTATTTATTTATTTTCTATTTTAGGAACATTATTTTCTAATAATTATTTTTTATTAATAATAATGATTTTTTATTTTTTATATTGTGGATCAATATCAAGGTCAAGAGGAAAAAGGTTGAAATTAAAATTATCGTTATCGGGTGTTATTTTTCAGACGGTTTTGCCCTCGAAGAACCAAAGTTACGAAAATGCCCATGCGTAAGGGAGTTGATATGCTTTGGCTTAAAAGACATATGAGGGTAGTTTCGCCCTTTTCAGGAAATAGAACCATTGAATAGATCGATGAGGGCAAGTGGGTGTAGAGATTATTGGAATCATGGGAGGTCAATGGTATCGTAGAGGAAATGACTAAAATACCTTCGCCTTTTTTAGGTCAAGAGAGCCCACAAGAGGACAATATTAAATTTGAAACTAAAAACAAAGGATGCAGTTTTTATAAGGCATCCGGCTTGGGCGATGGCGGTAGTATTGGTTGAGCTTCATGATGAGATCTATAACTTCATTTTGAAACAAAAAAAAAAAAGTAGGGTTTAAATTCTCACATGATTTTCGTCATTCCCATTGAATTATTCAAAAAAAATTGGGAATTTTTATAAAACATAAAAATCAAAAGAAAAAGAAAACAAAAAGGTAAAGCCTCTCATCAAAGTAAAAGTATAAAATGAGACATTTTATCTTTAGTGCAAATTAATTACAATTAATCTTTACTTTTGGATGTGAAATTAAGGGGTTGTATTTATTCGATTGACCAAGCTTTAATTTCAAAATAATTTTTTTTTAACTTTGTGACATATCCAAGCTATCAAATTTTACATCCGATGGTTGTAAGTAATTGTGACATCCTTGTATTAAAAATAAAATGGTTTCATTGTATACAATCCTCTCATCAAAACTTCGTGTAGAAAACATTTTGGAAATAAGAAACTTGACGACTCCAAAATCTATTTGTATCACAAATTGTGAAATTTGTAGATCAAAAAATGGCATGGATCTCGAATATGAATAATTTGAGAATGGACAGTCTAAATAACATTTTACTATATAAATTATTTGTAGACTTTGGAATCCTAATATTTTTTATATCCATAATAGTTAAGATCCAGATGAACGATTTGAGGCTTATTTGACTCTCAAGCTACAATTTTCTTGCAAAGGGCTAGGTTTAGTCTCTCATAAAACTTCCTTGGTTCAGGCTAGGGCTGCACAAGACCTATCTCGGACTATACAGGTGCTAGGCAACCCTGTATGGGGTTTTAATGGTTTTGGTTGGGAAAGGCCAAGCCTATTATTAATTGTTTTCTTAAATACAACAAAATCAAAAGAAAGAAGAGCTTGCCCAAGCTCCTAACCCCAATTGGAAGATAATTCAGGCCTAAGCTCAATACCGTATTTATTGAAAACATTCTTCTAATGAATTCTTTAGTTTATTGAGTCAAACTAGTAATCCGGACTACTCCGAACTGCTAGGGGCATTGACACCAGGAGACGCAATCCAACATTTCACTTGACATATGCACCGTTCATTTGAAATGGACGATAAATATCGCTTCCAAAACTCAATGGTCAAGCTTGAAGTACATTCTCCATTGTAAATAGATGGTGTAGGTGTGAGGGGACTCAGTCCAATAGCTTTACGGTTGTACCCCCAAGCAAGATTCGAAACAAACTGAAGAAAGTTTTAATGGACATGGCGTGCTTCTTGGTAATGCAGTCAAGAGAAATGGCCCACCACTTCATGCGTTTAGTCTAGACTCTAGAGTCTAGAGGAAAAGTCACTATTTCAAAACTCAAATTATATATATATATATAATTCATTGAGATCTTTTATATCCCCGTATTTGGCGATCTTCATGACATTTTTAAAATATATTTTTATTTTTATTTATAAAATTTAAATTTTAGAAAATAAGGTAGATTGAGCAGATTTATGAAAACTTAAAAATCTTAAAAATTAACAGTCCAAAAATATGTTACAAGATGCACTATTTCCAAAACTTCAAATCCATTTTTTTCTCAGGTCCATACATTTTGAGATCGAGATGATCAATTTGATGATATTTAGACATTAAAACAACTTATTCTGGTAAAAACTTTTAGATAGGCTCTAATTTGATTGTTTAGATCTGCTCTATACAAACTTTTTCCTTAAATAAAACACATCTCTATCACTACAAGATTGAGACTCTCTTTCATTTACAACTAGAGAGAAATATTTGCAATAGCAAATAAGCTAGCTAAGGGGATTATATACAATGACACAATTTATCTTTAGTACAAGGAAGTTACAATTACTTATAACCATCCGATGTGAAATTTGATAGATTGGGTGTGTCACAAAGTTTGAAAAAATTTATTTTGAACTTTGAGTTTGATTAATGAAATAAATGCAACCACCCAATTTCATATCCAATTGTTAAGATTAATTGTGACTACCTTGTACTAAAGGTAAGTGGTCTCTTTACATAATTTCCTATTTGTAAATTCTTCATGGTAATAATGTTTAGCCTAATACACTTATACATCAAATTCGTTATTTAATAAAAGTACACTTCAACATACAAAAGAATATCTTAAATTATATATAAAACAAATCAATGGCATGGAAAAAACAAGAACATTCTTTCGGTAGAAATTGTGCACGATTCAACCGTACAGGTCCATCCAAACATAACTTAATGCTTGAGAGAGAGTGATGGAAAGGGGGATTATGAATTGAACAAATGGTTCGACTGATCAAGCCACTAACTGGTGCCTTGGCCGGTCTAGTCCAAGGTAAAAATGAGTTTTAGTAAAAACTCCGACAAAGCTAATATTTGGTCGATTTTGGTTGATCTGATCAATCAGTTTTAACCGGTTCGACCAGCTAAATGAAGTCGCGCAAAGTTTATAGTACATTTTTTTTTTTTGTTTAACTAGTGTATCTATTGTTCTTTTCTTTTCCTAAAATTTTATTGGACCGGTTCGACTAACAATTGGAGAGGTTTTGACTACACCAAACCTCTCACTAAAAAGGCTATAGGGTACAAATTTAGTTTCATCATGTACCTATTACAAAGCAAACAATATGTGTCTTAAACAAGCAGACAACCTCATATCATCCAAGCCTCTTTTAAGCATTTGTGTTACATTGAGGCGTTCACAAGTAAATATCTTATTCTCACTAAAAGAGCACATCTTAAACCTAACCCTTAACAATCCATATAATCCCCCGGCTACAAACCCTAAACCAATCCTTCAATCCAAATAATCCCCAGCTACATTTCACATGAATTTCTACCATGTCAAATGATCACAAGAACATTGTGACTTCTCAAAGCACTTCGAGCGCCATTAACTCCTTTCTCTCTTTAACCACGAAAGAATTCAATCAGGATTCCTCTCTCAAAGGGTAGTGGTCTATACAGTCAATCCATGGTCCATATGGTGATCTCCGAACCCTCTTCAGAGCCCTCCACACCACACTGTTGCACTTGAACCCGGACCCGAATGCGACTTGCCAAATCCGGTCATCCCGCTTGATCTTTCCCTTCGTCTCGAGGTATGAGAGCTCGTACCAGATGCTGCTGCTTGATGTGTTGCCGAACCGGTGTAGGGTTGATCTCGAGGCCTCCATGTAGTCAGGAGTGAGCTCGAGGTTCTTCTGTAACTCATCGAGCACCGCCTTACCCGTGGCTAGGATGCATATGTGATCAAAGGCTCTCTTGTAATCCGGAATATAGGGTTTGTTTTCTTGCTTATTCACAAAGTTGCCTGAGAGGAGGGTGGCAAAGAAGAGGACCTGTTCTCACAGTTTATCGTTAAGGAGATTTCCATAAGGTAAACAAAAGATTGTGATTGAGAAGAATAAGGGGGGGAAAGAAATCCAAGAGAAAATAGTTTTTTTTTTGTTTAATCCAATACATATAAGTCGAAAATACTTTTAAAAACACATACACAAAAGCTACGAGTGATTGAGAGAGAAGAGAGAAAGAGAATGCAACCTGCTCGGACAATGGCAACACGAGTGGCCCTAGCGTTGTGATGTTCACCTTGAGTGCATGTCCGCCCACCTCCGTGACCTCCCTCCCCACATGCAACCCCCTCCGCCCACTGTTGTCCTCCCTTTGATACACCGCCTCGAAGCTCCTCTGCTCCGCCCCACGATGCGTCCTCACAACCTGCCTCAGCTCATACTTTGCCCTCCACCGGTCCCTCCGTTGCCCCGACAGCAGCAATGCTGAGCACCCCATTCGAAAAAAGCAGTTTGACAACAACATTGTTTGGTCATTCCCTGTGTACCAAGAGCCTGTGATCACCTCGGTGCTCACCACTAGTGCCAAGGTTCGAGCGTGGGCTTGTAGAAGATCACGGGCGAGGTCTATGGCTACTACGCCTGCATCCATGGTTCAAACAGAAAGGTTATAATATATGAGATTGTATACTATGAGACCATTTATCTTGGTACAAGGAGATCATAATCATTTTTAAACATTGGATGTGAAATCAATAAATGAAAGTGTGTTACAATATTCGGGAAATTTGGCTTTGGACTTGTGCCCTAACAATGACACAACCTCAACCACCACCTGATTTTAAATCTAATAGTCAATAATGATTGTGACCTCCTTGCATCAAAGGCAAATGGTCTCCGTCAAAAGGACCTGGGTAACCCACCCACCGAATTTGATATAGATCAGTGATTTCCAATCCGTATCGTCAGGTTTAAAAACCTGGCTATGAAGTTAAAATTTCTTGATACAGTAAAAAATGCTAGGTTTTTTTTTGGGGAGAAAAATTAATAGTTATACATTGGCATTACAGATGATATATCGCTTTCTTGTATTTGAAAATAATGAACAATATTAGCCTATTGGCATCTAAATCTTTTCTTTCTTAAAAAAAATACTACTAGTCACACACGCGCACACACACACATAATGGTTTTTGGCAACTTGCCTGCAGCACAACCCATGCCTCCCAAACTATAGTTTTGTATGTCAGAGCGGAGCTTATAGCGATTTATGAGCATCGCAGAGAGTGAAGGAGTAGGGTTGAAGATTCCACAATTCACCACCAGCACACCAATGTCTTTGTGGCGAACTCGGCATTTTGCAAAGAGCTCGTCGACCGCCCCGAACATGACCAGCTGCGCCTCCTCACGACCTTGCCCTAGAGTGATGGCTTTTGCAGGTGATGCTATGACCTCTGGAAGGTAGGCCTCCTCTCCAATGCCTGAGTTCTTGAGCATGCGTTGCATGAAATCCAGGCTCTCCTGGTTGAAGTTGCCTGACTTCTTGGCCATCTCCATGAATTGGTGCTTTGAGATCTGCATGGTGAGGGTTTTGGTTGCGTCTTTACATGTTCAATGGTAGTTCTTTCTTTACAAATAATATTTTTTATGAATCTTTATGGTCTATGGTAAACATAATTAGAAGAAATAATTCCATGTGAAAGCACACTCCCAATTGTGTTTTGTTCTTGCTAGTTTGAGGGGAACTAAAGAGATGTGTACCCAATTTTCAATTGAGCGGATCATCCAATATGAAAGCTCTCTCTATGAGAACTTCTACACGGACCAAATAAAACATCAGACCTTTATCCATATGGTACTTTTCTCTCCCAAAGTTGCATTTGTCAAACAATTATAAATGCTCCAATTAGGGTTCGGGACTCACCTTGGACAGACTAGATCGAGAACTCTGTTATTCCGGTCTGGAAAACACTGGAATCATCCTAGCCTCTAGTTTTTCATAGGTTTTTTCTTTTTTTTTCTTATTGATACTTCCCTAATCCAACCCTGACTTGCCCGAGTTGTACAGGGGGACTGAGGATCGAGACCCTAGCGAATCAATCCCAAGTCTGCCTTTTTAATCACTAGTAATATAAAAGTTTTCATGTGGGGATCGTCGCATTTACGAGTCCCCCAAGAAATCTAACACATTTTAAGGGCACGTTTGTATTACGTGAAAATATTTCCCATGAAATACTTTCATGTGAAAAAATTCTTTCATGTGATTAAGTGTGGAAATATTTTTATTGTGATTAAGTGTGGAAATATTTTTACATCAACTAGCTCCCAATTGGTGTGAAAAGATATATGTAAAGATCAATTGATGTGAAAAAATTCCCTTATCTAACCACATGAAGGAATTATTTCATGTGAAAATATTTTTTGGGAAATATTTTTATGCAAAACAAACATGTTGTAAGATACAAAGACATAGGTGGTTTGCATAAACTTCTAGGAGAATGCATATTATGCTCCTACGAGAGCATATTGTACACCTATTTCCTTGGGCAGAAGATTGGAGAATTTTTTATCTGAAATTTTGGGAAACATCAAAGAATCACTGGATGAATATTTCTAAAAGATAAATTTTGAAGTCAAAGTTTCCACCGTAAAAACAATTGGAGGGTCTTTATCCAATCTTGAGATATATATACTTTTTCAAGTACATAGGAAGCGCTATTTGATTTTCTCCTTTTTATTTTTTCTTTTATTTTGTGTGCTTTCTTTGAGGTCAGCGTATAGGTTGAAGATGTTACAGCCCCAAAATTTGGGATCTTAGAATTACTTCTAGATTAAGTTTTACTCAAGGAAATAAATAGACAGTTACTCCCACAGGACCATACTGCTGGTAACTTTTACAAATGGTCACTACTTTGCCCTAAAAAAAATTGCTTTGAATGTTGACACGAGTGTTAGCTGTTTGGTTGAGGGGAGTTTAGGTTGCTTTGACCCTAGGTTGTAAAATGGTGCTTTCACAATTAAATGCAAGTTTTGGAACAATGTAAGAACCAATTCAGTTTGTTTTCTTCTACAGTAACCCCAACTATTGACACAATCAAGTAATACACATATTAACCAACTCATCAATTAAAGTTAAAACCAATAATATTATAACCACATCATCACCATTAAACTAATAAGAGGTTAGGTTCAGTTAAAACCGGTACGATCGCCAATCGAATTGGTTAAGCAAAATTTTAAAAAGATAAATAAAATATAATAAAAATAAATTTAAAAAAAATAAAAAAATTGTCCAACATTATTGCAGTAAAAATTTAGTTTTGATCAATTTTAGACCAAACACAATATTTGCTTCACTAGATTACCAAAAGCATCTCAGTCAAACCAACTAGATTCATTGGTCCAATTTGGTCTTGAAAACAATGGTTAAAACATTTCATATACCCTAAAACAGAGCATACCTAAGAAATTCATATACCTTAAGCTCATCCGGAGGTCGATAACACGCAAAATCGATTAGATATGTGGATCGAGGAACCACTGCAAGGTAGGTAACACCAATCAGGACCAAAGTTACCAAAACAAACAGCAGGATAGTGAGCTCATATGGTGCCCAAAGCTCTTCTCTCCCCATTTTTCCAGCCTTGATCCCAAAAACCAGGACTAAAAATGGTGCTCCAGTGATGAGATAGACTCCATGGTTTATGAGGTAGCCATAGCCAAGCTTCACATATTTTAGGTTCACGGACTGTAGGAAATCCGGCAGGCGCCTCCGGACCCTCACTGAGAAGCTAGGCAACCCGGCATCAGGGCCCGAGCTCTTGACACCCCGGTCCACGATCTCAGTCGAGAGCAATTCTTGCTGAATTGCCATGAACAATTATCAGCATAGAACAATTATTGTCTTCTAAATTTGTGATGAGTATCCTTCTATGATATGAAGGACAACTATAACCAAGAACTTGGAGAAAAATTAAGTAAATTGGGTAATGGGGGAGAAGCCATAGGATAGAAAGAGGCTACTTCTATCATGTCCTAAATAAGTGAATTGTGGGTGTTAGTGACAATATTTGAAACTAAATTCAGTTGGAGAGGGGGAAGATAAATATGGGTTTAATTGTTTTTTTTTTGGGGGTGGGGGGGTTTCGGGGGTGTTAATATGAGATTAGGATAAGGAATTGAGATGGATTAAGTATGAGAGCATTAATGATATGAAGGGGGGTGCGGAGTGGGGGGCTCAGGTGAGAGAAGTTTAAGGGGATAGTACTAGGAACCCGGTAACTAATGGTGGTTGTTTTTTGCATGACTTGGGACAACGGTTTTGAGCATGAGAGTTTCATGAGTGTGGAGACGAAAGGTCTTAGAGATTGAGAGGGTTCATTTGGTTGGGCTCCAACCAAATAATGATGATAGGGAGTCATTGGATGAGCCGTGTAGAAGAGAGGCTTAATGGTAAATTTCTTGAAGCTTAAAAGGAATTTTTAGATACTTTTAAAGCCAGGGTTGGCATGAGCATCCCATGACCTTCGAGTGTTGGGGTGTTTGGGTGAGCTTTGATTCGGTGTTATCAAAATCGGATTGCCCACTGAATCAATGAGCTATTTGGTCTAGTCAAAATCAGTTCAACTACAGATTGAATCAGCATGGTTAGATTTAAAAAAATATAAAAAATAAAAATATAATATAAAATGAGAATGATAGTTTAAAAACATAAAATGTATTAGAAGTAAATTTTGCCCATATTTATTTAAGAGTGTGGTTTACGTAAGGTTGCAACTTTAAACAATCCAATTAAGGCGCACCTCTAAATTTTATTATAAATGTAATTTTGACATAAAACTTTCTTAAGATGACTTGGGAATCTATTTTCATCTTTAATTGTAAAATTTTAAACTGTAAAAATGGTTCAAATCAAGTAGATCTAAAAAATATGAAAATCTTTAGAATTAATGGTCCAGATAATGTATTGCAAGATATTCTATTTTTAGGACTCGAAATATTTTTTTTTTTTTCATATTCTTACATCTCAATATCGATATGATCAATTAGAGGGTTTCCTAACACGCACACAACCTTTTGTGATAGATTTTTTAAGTGCATCTTTAATTATATATTTTAAGGTTGCAGCTTTATATAAACTTTTGGGAAAAGATGGGATTAGCCCACTAGCTCATATGAACATATGAGCCCAACGGTGCAGATTGAATCTGGGTCAATCTGATGATCACGGATGTCCAGTAGTGTTTGATTTTTTTTTTTTAACAGATCCAAATCACTTGAAATTTTAGGTGTGTGTTCTTCTCATCAAGTCGCACTTAATAAAAATATATAAAAAAAATATTCCTGAGAAACAAAATGACCAAATACCCCCAAGACTTTTTTGGGGTATTTTGGTCAATTTATTTATTGTAAAATAGTTTTTTGATATTTTTCAAAGATTCACCTATTTTTGATGAACACACGCCTAAAATTTCAAGTGATTTGGATTTGTAAAAAAAAAACTAAAATTTAAATACTACCAGACGTCCGTGTTCGTCAGATTGGCCCAGAATCAATCTGGGACGTTGGGCTCATATATTCATATGAGCTAGTGGGCTAATCCCATCATTTCCCTAAAATTTTACCTTTATTTAGTCGAACTCATCAAAATCAGTCAGTTCGACTGGTCAAAACTGGTCAAACATTAGATCCGCGTTCAAGTATTTTCATAAAATAATTTAGATATTGAGTTCGACATTTAAAAATGACCATCCAAAAATGGTGGTGTTTGTGCAATGTTATGTGGTTAATATTGTTCAATCTTGCAATGTTATACTATTTTAAATGTTCTTAGTTCCGTTAGTGTAACACAATATTGCATGTGACTAAATAAAGATGGAAAACGTTCATGTGAGGTTGCAACCTTACGATATAAAAGAAGCGTAGAAGAAAGATGCATCTCGAAATCCTCTATAAATGAGTGTTCTGAGATAAACCTTCTAATTGATCATCACGACTTCGAGATACATGGTGTAAAGGAAAAAAGAATTTCAGGTCTTTAAAATAGTGTATCTTCTAACAAATTATATAGACCGTCATTTTCTAGATCTTCAAGTTTCTATAGATGTGCTCGATCTGTACTTTTTTTTTAATTTTAAATTTCAAAACTAGAATTGAAAATGAATTTTCAAGCCATTATAAGATTTTCGACACCAAACTAGACCTTCCAACAAAATCTAGAGGTGTGCCTTGCCTGTATAACACAAGTAGGCGTCCCATACAAACCTCACTCAATAAAAGATGGGACATAAGAAACAGAAGGTTGAGAGATGAAATTTGGTGCGATATTTGACATTTACTAAGAATGTGATTTTTGTGCACATTCCTATGAGCGGGTGCTCTTGCCAAAGAAGGGGCTTTTGGAGAATCACTCTTATGTCTACACAATTTCAATAATGGAATGTGAGATATTGTCATGATGCTTGACATCTTTTTACCTATGTTTTCCCTTTTCAATTCCTTGTACTTTAATTTTGGTAATGAGATTTTTTATTAATGATGACGACAAAAAGCATGTGTTTTACACATTTTTTTTAGAAAAAAGTTTATATAAAAGATTTCGAATCTACAAAAAAATCCATCATAAAAGGTTTATTAGAATCATGTGTTTTACTCATTTTTCTTAGAATCACATATGCACCTAAAAATCCATCATAAAAAGTTGTTTGGATGTTGGAAAACGCTCTAATTGATCATCTCGACATCGATATATATATATATATATACATATATAAAGGTTTCGAGTCCGCGAAATAGTTTTTCTTACAACACATTATCTGGATTGTCTATTTTCAAGATTTTTATATGTTTTTAGATCTACTTGATTTGAATCATTTTTAGAGTTTAAAAGTTTATAATTAGAGATGAAAATAGATTTTCAAACCATCCTAAAAAACTTCTATATCAAAATTACATTTATGATAAAATTTAGAAATACACCTTAATTGGATTGTTTAAGGTTGCAACCTTATAAAAACCACATCCTTTTTCTTAAAAAGCAAGAAAATGTAATCTAAAGTTTTAACCTTGGTGGCATTCAATTCTACACCCACTCATAGTCCACGTTTGGGTGTCTTTTATACAATTTCTCCCTAATTTGTTGAGAATCCAGACATGAAACAAAGCAACAATTGGTGTGAAATTCTACTGTAAATTCACAATCTAAATCCCCATCTCTCTCTCTCTCTCACTCACTCAAAGCCCATAAATTAACCTCAATAAAAGAATTATTCCAAGATGTGCTTGAAAAATAATGTTTCTAGATTGAACAGAAACTGCCTAATTTTTGGAGGGTGAGATACAAGTCTTTAAAAAACTAAAATCTTAAATATTTTATTCCGAAAATAATCATCCGGTTATTTTTAGGCGGTTCTCAAAATATTGAAAAAATCCTTCCAAACAGGTCTTCCAACTGAGGAAGTAGGTTCACACTGTATGCTCCCTCGGGAGCACGGTAAATGCTCATATTTAATTTCCTTTTCCTATCGGCCTGCTAAAAGGCAATAATTTGACATGATGAAAACACATTCATTTGCTTTCTTTTTGCTTTTTTTCTCAACCACCCCATCTCCCATGTCTTCCTACATATACACTCACAAGCATCTCAACCCACACCATCCCTCTCTTGCTTCTTCTTCTTTTTCCTTCCATGGAGGTAACTCTTCACTGACTCTTAAAGGCTTCTTATTATATTTATAGGAAATTGTAATTTATTAATTTATGAGTAAAATTAATATATATATATATATATATATATATTTCTCTTTTATGTCCTATTCATATTAGTTTTATTTTCTTTTTCTCCCTATTTTAGTGGCAAATAATCTTAAGCTATTGAACTAAATTTCCCTATTATCGATTTATAGACAGACTTTTATTTGCAGTTTGGCCATGTAATAGTGGATATGTGAGCAAAAAGTTTTTTTTCATATACGTATTCAATGGCGATAAATCTTTCTTAGTAATGCATTCCATTTTTTTTTCGTGATGCTGATTTCTTTTTATTTGAGGAGGGAGAGGGGTGGTTGTTTAGATATGCATTCGTTTGTTTCTCAGTGAAAAATTGTTATTTTCTCAGGCTGTGGAGTTAAAGGTACGCTTGCACTGCAAGGCCTGCGAGAAGGGGGTTCGAAAAGCTTTAACCAAGCTTAAAGGTTCTCTCTCTCTCTATATATATATTGTGCTTATTCTTTCTCTATATATATTGTGCTTATTCTTTCTCTGTATTGTGCTTATTTATTGATGCTATGGTGGACTATATGAAACATGAGATGCCAATATAACCAAGAAAAGAGCTTGGGTTTAATTGGTTAGCGCTTGACGATTTGTAAGGTTACGTCTTAAGCTCAATTTTTTACAAAAAAAAGCGGCCTCTCCCCACTAACGTACAAAAAAAAAAAAGACAAAGCTCAATTTTCTACAAAAAGCGGCCTCTCCCCACTAACGTACAAAAAAAAAGACAGAAAGTATAATACTATAATACTCTTGTAGCATCCTCAATACTATAATACTCTTTGTAGTATCCTCATGTCTTGAAGTGGCATCAATTGAGCAATAATTAACTAAAAGAAACCATGATTTTATTAAAAAAAAAAAATCAATTAAACATGCATAAGGGTCCATTATATATGGATATCCCATTTAATTTAGTTTAAACTTTCTCTCTTCTTCTTTTTTCTCTCGCTCTATGTTTTTTTCTTTATTTATTTATTTATTATTTTTTTGCAGGTGTTACTTGTGTGGAGATGGATTTGACAAGGAACAAGATAACGGTTTTAGGTTACATTGATCAGAAATCAGTGGTTAAAACCATTCGAAAAACAGGCAGAAGGGCTGAACCTTGCACCCCCACCATTAGAAATTTTAAAAATTTTGGACGTTTTATGTGATATATGTTGCAGCATGGCCATGTAAGCATGTTATGTTAAGTATAAATTGTCATAGCTTGGGTGTTTTTTAGTTAGTATTTCATGTTGTGGTGGCTGAGATATCATATGTATCTTGATATCATTTCAGAAAAATCAATGTATACTTTATTTTAAATTTAAGTTTTAAAAAAAAGGAAATGGAAAAAAAATTCAAATAAGACAAATAAGATAGGAAAGTGTATTGTTCTTTCTTTTTTTTTAGAGGAGATTGAAAGGATATAAAAAAGTGTATATTGTGCGTAGCAAAATAGGAAAGTGTAGATTATACAATTATATAACCATTATATATACGATAAAAGAACCACCACAAATTAATATGGGGCACAATTATTTTATTAAAGAGTACCTCTCTCTAAAACTCTTTCTGGTATAGAGCTATCGATTCTCTTAGTTTCATCTTGAAGTAGTTACTCAATCCAAAGTGGGCAGCAACTTCATCTTGACTCACGGTACTTCAATCTTTTTTTTATCCATCTTTTATTTTTATCGAGTCATCATCGTTTATTTTATTTTTTTCTTCCAAGCTTTTCTCTCTCACTTTTTTTTTTTTGCTTCCAGCCATTCAAAACAAACTCTTGATATCCTTCAAAAATTTATTCCAAACATCTTTTACATGTCATCTCTCCCTATAATTCTTTGGGCTTTACCTCAAAGTTTTTGATTCACCATTTTTATCTTCACCTCATTGTTTTCACCTCTTTTGGCTTGAAACCTAATAACCTCCAATAACCTCAAGTCCTTCACTAACCCACTCCCTCAATCAAGCCATATTGTTTTTTACCCTTATAACCAAATCATCAAAAATCACACACAACCTATATCATAACCAAATCACACCCTGTCCATATCACATTCTCTTACATACCTAATTTCTCTTTAAAAAAAAAAACCTACTTTCTTACCTTCCCCCTTCAAATACCTATTCGCTCCAATTGATACTTCATTCTCGTCAAACAAATATCCATATCCTTCTACCCGTAATATAGGAAACTTTGTGTCTATTAAGTTGACACTAAAAAACTCTCTTATGGGAAACCTGAATGCTTCTTCTCATTGAGAGTCAATAACTTGTTGGATTCATTAATGGTGATTTTCCTACACCAAGTCAAAAGATTTCATTTCCTGATGGTAAGAGTGAAATCAAAACCCAGATTCTAAATCATGGTTAAAATCTGATCGACTTCTTAAAGCATGGATCACAGGGATATACCTGAAGAATGCCTATGCAGGTAATTATCAAGCTAGGGAGTTTCAACTTACATAGCAACTCCAACTCTGCAATAAAATAAATTTAATCCTATCAAAATATATAAGCAATTTCAAGAGTATTTGTGATGATTTGACGGCGATTGGAAAATCAGTATTAGATGAAAATAAGATATTTTAGCTTCTTAATGGACTTGGTCTTAAATATGAAAGTTTTACTGTAAGCCTCCGATTCCTTTATATTATAAAATTATACATCTTCTCCAAAACCATGAGATTAGAAATCAGCCCCGTTCAAATTGAAATATGGTATCAATTGGACAACAAAATTTTTTTTTTTTTGACACAACACAGGTAACCGGAATTACAGAGGTAACCGGAATTACAGAGGTAGATAGAGAAACAACTTTGGCAGTAAGCAGTTATTCAACTCTCGTGTCTCACGTTTCTTAATAGGATCATTCATAACGTATTGTTTAAACAAACAAAGTAAGGTGCATCTCTAAACAAAGTAAGGTGCACCTCTAAACGTTGCTCACATATGCAATCCTAGAGTCCATAATATTTTAAAATATATTTTTGCCTTAAATTATGAAATTTAAAGCTCTAAAAATAACGTAGATCGAGGAAATCTATAACACTTAAAATTTTTGAAAATAGACGGGCCATATAATATTTTACAAGATGCAACAAATTCAGGACTTGACATCCCTTTTCCTTTTTCATATCTATATATTCTGATCTCCAGAAATTAATATAAAGGTTTTCTAGTATTGAAACAACCTTTTTCAGTGTATTTCTTAGGTGTGTGTTACTTTAATTATAGTATAGGATGGACACCTTATATAAACATTCGTTATTTAATTTCCAAAAATTTCTGCATCCGGCTTTGATGATTTTCCTTTTTAAAAAACTCCTAGTATATATTACCCTTGAACTTGAGGGTATTGCTTAAATGCAACTAACGCAAATGGCATCAGCGTATTGTTTTAAATGCATTTGAATTTTAATTTTGTAAAGGATAAAAATTAATGTTTGGGTAAAAATAAAAACAAAGAAAAATAATGCAGCAAATTAAAGAGTAATATACAAAGTTTTACGTGGTTTGACAATTAGTTGCAAGGTAGCAAATTTCTCTTCCAATGATCACAAAAACACCATGCAACGATGAGAATACAAGGGTTTTCATGCTTGGTCACCCAAGCCTTAAGACAAGGTTTTTCCTCCTGTAGGAGAACACCCACCCAAAGGAATACAAGAAGTTGGAATGACAGAAGTTGTTTGATTTAATTTCAAGATATTTATGGAAACACCCATGATCATGAGTTGGAATAGTTGCAAATGTGTTAATTTTGAATAGTATACGTCTCATGGGTATTTTTATCATTTTTCCGCATCAAAATGGGTGTGGGACTTTGGGAATGTTTTATAAAAAATGCACGTCTTAAACAATTCAATTAAGGCGCACCTCCAAATTTTATCATAACATATAATTTTGTTGTAAAAGTTCTTAGGATTATCTGAAAATCTATTTTTATCTCTAATTATGAAATTTTAAACTCCAAATATGGTTAAAATCAAGTAGGTCTATAAACACATGAAAATGTTGTAAATGAATAGTCTAGATATTGTGTTACGAGATGTACTATTTTTTTGGACTCAAACTCTTTTTATTTTTTATTTTTTCATATTCATACATCTCGATGTTGATATGATCAATTAGAGGGTTTTTCAATATTAAAACAACATTTTCCGATGAGATTAAAACACCTCTAGCCACCCAATTATACATTTAATGGTCAATAATGATTGTGACTTCCCTATACAGAACTATACAATTTTTTCTGACAGTTTACCTTTTTTCCATTATTTTTCTGACAGTTTACCCTTTTTCCATTATTCTAAATCAATATTATGGGTATTATGATGGACATTTTGAAATTAAACAAAAACATATAAGTCAAATGTTAAAGGGTGCAATTGGCATATGGATGCATCCGTAGCTATAGAGGTAAAGTGCACCTTCAAATTTTATCATCGTATATAATTTTGATGTAAAATGTTCTTAGGATTATCTAAAAATCTATTTTTATATCTAATTATAAAAATTTAAATTTAAAAAATGGTTAAAATCAAGTAGATATACAAATATATGAAAATCTTGAAAATGGACGGTGTAGATAATATTTTGTAAAATGTACTATTTTTGAGACTTAAAATCGTTTTGTTTTTCATGGTCATACATCTCGATGTTGAGATGATCAATCAAAGGGTTTTTCAACATTAAAACTACCTTTTTCGATGGATTTTTTAGGTGCATCCGTAGTTATACATTATACGGTTGCATCCTTATACAAACTTTTTCCAATATTAAGTAATTAATATTTTAGGTGTGTTTTGATAAATTTCCTAAAAAGATTGTTTGGCAACCAAAAATTTGGTTGTCAGACATTAAATTTATTAATATGAGGCATTTTCCTAGTATGGCAAATGGAAATTTTATAGTGTAAAGAATACTATTTCAAATAATAATAGGGAATTAAGACTTGCACCACAAACACACCAAAGGGTAAAATGCTCAAAAAATGCTCAAAAAGTAAGAAATGCGTGTATTTCCATTTTTTGGATTATTTGATATTCTTTAAAATACCTATAAATTTCAATTCTTTTTACTTTTTTATGAAATCGTATCGAGATGAATGGATGTGAGCCTAAATGGGATGTTCTTATAAAAAATAATTTAAAATAATTATATGAAATAAAATGACCTAACTATGCCTTGGAATTTCAAGGGCAAATTTGCCATTTTATTTTTAGAAAATATGTTTAATATTTTATAGGTGCGAGTTATTTAGATCTACATACGCCCAAAATTTCAATCCATCCAACATATACCAAAAAATGAAAAATAAAATATTTTGGATATAGATGTTGAAATTGGCTAATTCCTATAAATCTCCTAATTTACAAAATTTTAGCTTAAACCAACTATAGTTTTTCAAAATCTCACGATTTTGGTTTGATTAACTAAACCCAGCATTTCCCATTACTAAGCACTCAATTTTTCTTCCTCCTAGATTTTTAAGCTGAAAATCTCCAAATCTAATTCCAAGTTCTAGTTGCTAAACACCCTTGAAATTTTATGCTTTGATCAAAACATTACTTAGAATAAAATATAAAAATTAACCTGCATAAAATACGGCATTGCTAGCATTGCATCCTTAGTGGATGCAAACTACCTAGAGTGTCATGAAGAAATGGCCGGTTCTCGATATATGTTGAGAATTGAATTAGTTTTAATAATTTTCAATCGAGACCAAACGATATTAATCTGAATTGATTTTTTTAAAGAAAAAAATTTAGACAAAATACCTCCATAAACCTCATTTTCAATTTTCGTTTCTCTATTAATCTAAGATTGTAAAACC